ACGCTCTTCTGGCCAAATCTTCTCTGAAGAAACATTCTGAGAGACTACTGAACTTTGCAATTGAGCAGTAGATGATGTTACAACAAGTCTGTCATGATTCCGATCAGCACTCCTCAAGTCTCTGTTTCCATGGTTTATATTACGCTCTGGAGCACTTGATTGATCATAAGCAGATGGACCTGAAGACCTATCATTAACATATGGTGCACGCTCTGGTAAATTACTGTGACCATTAGGACCAACAGTCATTCTATGAGGGTCTCCAGGGACAGGATCAGAAATTGGCGAATTGGAAATTGCTGTTGATCCTCTAGTAGACATTCCCCTAGCAAGACCACCTTGGGGAACCAAGGTTATAGAATCATCTCCCAAGGGTCTTTGTGGCAAAGGAACTGACAAGGTCCTAGCCTCAAAAGATTGTCGTTCCTCAAAACGAGCATCCTGAGAACCGTACCCACGAGCTTGAGTAGGAAGACCACGCATTCCACCCATTTGATTAGGAGATGACAGCATAGATGGTCCTCTTGGACCAAAATCCATCGGATTCCTTCTTGCTGATTGATTGTTGCCAAGACCACGACCTGGCCTACCAGCTTGGGCCTGCTTCTCCTGGGCAGCATCCCTGTGTACCTCTTCAATCTTCTTTGGACCTTCTACTTTCCTCCTTTGCTGCCATTTATTCTTTCTTAAATCAATGGAATCCTTCAACATGAACCTCACCCTAGAAGATAAATTCATATTGTTTGATAATAGTTTCATCCTTTCAAAATATGCATCCATATGTTCCTTGGCTTTGGGATGGTCAATCATCTCCCCGATAGTACTCATTAGCTTGCACAAAGCTTCAATGTCTTCCTCATCTGGATCCTGATACTGACCCAGTAACTTCTTGATACACTCATGCATTATCCTCTCTGTCAACATTTTCTTCTTATACAATTCTCCAATTAATCTGATGTTTCCCAACATGCGTCTTCTTGCCTTTGTTCTTCTTTCTTCTCTTTCCTCAGCAGACTGCTTAACCTCACCCTCATCAGCCTTATTTGCTTCTTCTTGCTCTCTTTCACCCCTCTCAAATTCTTCCTGGCACTTGTTTAATAATAACCTTTTAAAAGTTATCTTTTCATTGTCCTCACTGAAATCAGGCAACTCAGAAGCCAGATGAAAACAGAAGTTAGCATACATTTCACAAAAGGTAGGTTCCATCAGAGCCTTCTCAAATATTTGTGAGATGACACCAGTGAGGGTGACTGCATTGTCAATATTAACTGCTTTCACCTGTTCAAAAAGTCTATCAAAATTCTGAGGAGTCAGTTTGTTCAGGATGGCTTTCAACTGCCTCTGTTTTACCTCTTCCACATCTGATGCTTTACCCACTTCATACTTCTTTTCAGCTTTGTGCATCATCTGTAAAGGAGTTTGGGTAGGAGAAGGAATTAAACCCCTCTGCTGAAAGCCAGGAGAACGCTGCCACCTCTCCCCATCAGGGCTATTTCTTTGCATTCCACCCTGACTTCCCACAGATTGCATTGGCCCAGACAGGATCCCTCCAGCATACTGTAGTGGTGTCTGTGCACGAGGGTTCCTTAAAACACCAAAATTGCCTCCTTGGCCAGATCGAAATCCCCCATTGCCTCCAGTGCCATCCAAGCCTCGTCCAGAACGAAAACCACCAGAAACTTTATTCCATCTGTCATCCTCCATTATAACATCCCCGCGGCGATCCATCCGAGACATCCCACCTTGTCTATCTACAATTCTTCCAGGACCAGGATGTGAATCACGCTCATAACCATGAGAACCACCAATATTGGCACCCATCAAAACTTCAGCGATGTCTGAAGTGATTTCAAAACCTTCAGGAAGATCAGTGCATTGCTCTGCAAATTTTAGAAGGAAATCACGTGAGTACTTCCTTGCTGTACTTCCACTTCCATCACCAACTTGTTGAGATTTGTCATGAACCTCCAGTTTGGGGGTAGACATGTCAGCAGCATCCTCCCAGTCATCAAGTTCAGCTTTACTGTGACCACATTTCTCACTTGCTAAAGAATCTGACTGAGCAGCATCTTTAGGCAACTGCTTCAAACTTTGAGAAGTAGAAGCACTTTCTGTGCTCTCAGAACTTAAGACAGCTTCTTTCTTTTCTTCAGGTCCCTTGTATGCATTATAAAGATCAGATGTCGACCCAGCAGCATCTGCTTTCTGAAGTATCTCTCTTCTTTTCTTCTTCCCTTTAGATGTAGGTTTCCCCTTATTCGGTTCTAAAATCAGTCTATCCTTGGTAACTAACTCACCACCAGAATTCTCTGAGGCATCCTTAACATGCTTTGACGTTGTTTCTGGAAGAACAGCAAAATGCTTTTCTGTTGTGCCAATATTTCCTGAAACACATTTATTAGTAACTTTACTATCATTTCTACTAAAAGATACATCTCAAGAATGAAATACAGTAGTGGAAGATGTGCCTAAATTATCATCTATTGTCACATTCTGCATTACATCTTGCAGTACAATTTTCATCCCGTACTTGCAGTACAATTTTCATCCCGTACTTGCAGTACAATTATTAAGGTTAAGACCTCAATGCTTAGATTTACAGCATCTTTTTTACTTTGTTTAATTTATGTTCCATTAAAGCTAATATTATGTTTGTATCAATCAGGAGATGGTTCATCACTTTTATCATAATGCTTTAGTTGGTTACCTTCAGCTAAATCATTATCAGGCTTATGATTGTACACTCTGTCAGCAGATTGTGCACCATATCCTTCACCTGAAACACAAGCAGAGATCTCCGCAAATCCATTGGTCTTCAACTCAACAGCAGTAGAAATGCTACTAGATATTGAATCAGACAAAGGAAGATCTTCAGTGGTAATTGCCGGAGAGTGGCTTGTTTCAGTTCCAACAGTTTCGGGAACTCCGGTATCAGATATACCACAGTCAACAGCTTGAGATGGAATATTAGCTGCTGTGGGAGATTGTACAGAAACCTGCAGGAAAAGTCAAGTACACACATTATATTGAAGCATGCATACTAAAAAGTACATCAACTATATTCAAGTGTGTGTCTGAAAAATAATTCACTCAGATACCTGATGCTGTGATAATTGACCTTTTTTCCCTGGTTTTTTATCCTTCGAAGAGTTGGACCTACTAAGAGATTCTCTCCCGCCTTCATTATTGGAAACAACTGGGACAGAATCACCAGACAATTTAGACTGTTGTCCAGAGATTTCTGAACAAATTTCAGACGCTTTTTGCTGCACAGAGGAGTTAGCATCACAAAATGATGTTGAACTGGGGGATTCTCCATTTTGAACACCAGAAATACTAGAATTGGACAATGATGAGCCCACAACAGCAGGCATACTGCTTGGCTTAATGGTCACAGACGCAACCCCTGTTGAAGTGCTAGCTTTATTAATAGGCGGGGAACCAACTGGTGATGAATTCATGAAACTTGCAACTTGTGGACCATGGTTCACAGGATAATTAAATATTGGTGGCTGAGAATTAGGAGTTATCATGCTACTTGTTAATGGAAGAGAACCAGGTGGATAATAGAGAGAATTGGTATTATGCGAGCTGGATTTATAATAGTTCACAGGATGAGAAGCAGGAAAAGATTTAATAGGCTGGGATTGAGAAGGTATGGTAGGATGTGACCTAGCAGCACCGGATGACCCACCATCTGGATATGCATCTGTCCTTTTATCAAGCCTCAGCTCTTCATGGGTCTCGGGATGAGTTATCTTTACCGGAGTAGTTTTTCGAGGACCAGCAAATTTTCCTCCTTGCTGCTGGGGGGGATATTGAGGGTTGATGCCAATGCCCATGTTGAAATGATGACCCATTTGCTGATGACCCATTTGAGGAGCAAAACTCATGTTTTGGCCTTGATGCATAATCCCCTGAGGATGCATCGGATGTGGTTGAAGACCTGGAACAAAAACTGGCTGTTGCACTTGTGTAGCATTGCCAATGGGTAAAGGCATTGGTATAGGCATCTGGTGGGGCGCCGTTGACATACCTTGAGATTGAATCTGAGGATTAGCACCACCAAACTGTAAAGGAGCCTGTGATTGGTGATATGGTGTTGACATTGAAATTCCAGTTACAGGAACAACAGAGGGCTTCAGCATCTGGTTTGCTGGGGTCAAAGCTGACACCTGAGGATCCCTTTTGGCCTTAGTCCCCCCTATATGAGTCTCTCCGACATTAGATTGCTCAGTGACACCAGCATCTTTCCTAGGTGGTTGCTGCTGCTTTGGAACAGGAGGAATTGGCACGGAAGGAACAGGCTTATAAGAGTCATGAAGAGCCTGAGAGTTAAGGAATTATACATCAAACAGGAACTTCCATAACTATGAAAAGGAGGCATAAAACAAGTTTAATTAGGAGATACTAATATCTCTAATAATGTAAACTTCAATCAGACACAAAAAGCACAAGGGCATTTCTTTCTCAGATTCCATGTCTAAAATCTACAACAGTTCCTGTTTGTAAGATAGAATCTAAAAAATGCTCTTTACTTTGGAAGGGGTGGACAGTGACAGTAACTCAAGGTATGATGGTACAAACATTAAGGACAAAGGTAAAAAGGAATAAAATGCATACCTGATCACGCTTCTGCTCATCTAAATTAGGAGGAGCCGAACTTGTACGAGCAGGAATCTGCATAGAAGAACATGATCAATTACTCACCATAAAACTCCATGAAATATGTAATGACCATACATTAATCAATGAATATACAAGAAACTTACTGCCATCCCATTAACAAAGCCAGGAACTATGGATCCAAATTGAAAGGGGAATGCCTTAGATGCATCTCCTGTGATAAACTTAAATATTCAGCTTACTCAAATCTCACAACACAAGCTACTAAGAAAAAACATTTTGAAAACCGATATTATTTACTACTGAACCAAGCTACAAGTCAAAAAAATTGTTGTTAATCCACATCCAATGTACACAACAAAAACCTACAGGTCTAACATACCCTTAGCAGGGCTTGTGGGAGGGGCATGATCAGAAATCAAGGGGGGCAGTAGCGAGGTTGGAGCTTTGGAAACAATTCCAGCACTCCTATGTGCAGTTGGCGATTCAGATGACTTTGTAACTGGCCCATCCGATGCTCCTATCATAGCAATAAATGAATTAATAAAAAAAATAAGACAACAATAATTTCCCAAACACTCAATCATCCTAACAACATGTGTATTATTCCATAATTAAGAGTGAAGGATCTTTTTCAGAAATCCTTCAGCAGTCAAATTCTACTGAGCATAATCAGACACTAAAAAACAACTAAGAGAAGAATCACATTTTTTTCAAACAAAATAAATAATTTTTCTTCCTAAAGCTTACCATGTAATTGCGCCTGTACATGGGTACCATTATTAATGGTCCGGGCAGCAGATGCAATATTGGACTCTGTCGAATTCCCTGGGGAGGGGTTTACCCTAGATTGCCCACCTTGTGCATTATTAGACTTCTTGTTAAAACTAGAACAAAAACGTGCATGATCAATAAAACAGTAAGGAAGGAAAAATTCCAAAAAACAAAATCACTACTCATGACGGTGTTGTTAAAAAATAATTTAAACGCAAATCATAAAAACCACAAGAACAAGAATTTGACACCTCTGTAATTTAAAAAACAGAACTGAAAAGATTTTCAATGCTTCAAAATTTATTGTACACTTGTACAAATTTAATTTCCATTCATTACAACACTACACTTTACCTCCTAAAATACATACAAATTCCAAAAATATAAACAAATAAAATCCCAACCTATGCCCTTCAACTCTATTCTACAAACAACAATCAATTATGATTCTTTATAAATACATGTGTACAGGTTTATCAGTGTCATAATTTAATTCTTTTCATTCATTATAACACCACACTTAACACTAAAACACAACTAAATTCCCAAAAAAAAAAACTACAACCTACGCCCTTCAAAGCTATTCTACAAACAACAGTGAATTATAATCATAATATAATTTTTTATACATGCAACATGTGAGGTTTACATGTTTTATCATAATGTCATCCTCAAATTCTTTTCATCCACTATAACACCACACTTCACTCAAAACCGCAACCAATTCCACAATAAAATCCAAATCTGTACTCTTCAACACTATTCTACAAACAATAATCAGTTGTAACTTGTGACACATTTTATCACAATCACAATGTCAGCATTTAATTATTCTCATCCATCACAATACCACACTTTCTACTCTTAAACGCATCCAAATTCCAAACTCAAAAATTACCCAATCTACAGTATCAACATTGTTCCAAAAACATCAATCAAAATTCAATATGCACACATTCACAAATTCAACCAACAAAAAACCCCATAATACACCCTTCAACACTACTCTACAAACAAAAATTAACTACAATGCTGTTATACACACAAGTGTATATAGTTGACCACATTGTCAACATCTAATTATCCATCATAACTAAAACCAATCCAAATTCAAAAAAAAAAAAAAATCCCGATCAACACCCTTCAACACCGCTCTACAATCAACATTAATTATAATTATAATTTTCCATATACACACGTGCATTCATTTTATGACAATGTCAAAATCCAACTCTTCTCATCCATTAATAAACAATATTATCCAAACTCCAAAAACCAAAAGAAAAAAAAACCACAATCCACACACAAACATTATCCCACAAAACATCGATCAAAATTCAATCATAAACCGAAAACACACAAATTCACAAACCCTAACTCACCTCCGGGTAGAGGAGACAGAATTGATCGACGGCGCGGTCCCGCCACCGCCACCGCCGCCACCCTTGCCGTAGTTTCCTCTCTGCTGATTGAAGCTAGAGGATCGCCCGGTTCGTCGGTAAACCGCGTCGTTCTTCTCCGACTTTGATTGATTGAAGGACATATATTCCGACCTTCAGTTCCTCACAAAACACAAAAAAAAAAAAAAACCCCAAACAATCGAAAACACGAGAGAAACCAAACCGAATCTCCCTCTCTCAATTCTTCCCGGAAACAGCCACACTCGCAGATCCCCGAAACAATGGCGAACCCTCAGAAACCGAAAACCGAATTCCGCGGCAATGGCGAATGGGAGAAGTTCGTTAGGCGAGAGTGAGGAGAGTGAAGTGCGTGTAATGTTAGGGTTTTGTCACGTAACTGAAGAATGAAGAACGAAGAGAAAGAGAGAAAAAAAAATGAAAAAAAGAGAGAAGGGAGAAGAGAAGAGAGAGTGAAACACTGAAACGAAAACAGTTTAGGACAGAGAAATTTTAGAGAGAGAAAGAGAGAGAGAGAAAGAGGGGTAACAAACTGAGTGAGGAGTGAGGGAAAGGTCAAAAGGAAAAATAGGTTTTTTAGGAGATCAAGATCACACGCACTGTTGGAATGGGTTGCGGTTTTTATGACACCTATTATTCACATTCCCTTTTTTTTCTCTCCTTTTTTCTTTTATTAATCTTATTTATTTATTATTATATTATTATATTTTATTGGCTTTTTCGAATCTTATGTTGTTGTTTTCCTCTGTTTGTGTCCACCTGGTATGTTTGTCACTGTGACACTTGTGTCACCAGCAACAACTATACCTCAATATTTAAACACTATGAGATTTCTTATCATGACTAAGCAAATTGGTTAGGGGTTGATTGTTTTTACGTATCGTCGTGAATAAGGGTCGAATCTTTTGTGGAAAAGGTATTTTTGTTTGTATTTAATGTGGATCGTGTTTTTTAATAAAATTATCTTTGAGAGAGAGGAGATATTTATAAAATGATAAAAATATGTTTTGAAAATGTTTATACTTTAAATTTAAAATATATTTGTTTTTCTATTTCACTTTCTGTTTTGAAAATATGAAATAATGAAATATCTTTGATTTATCTATTTTAAAAAATTTGTATATATATACCGGTATTATCTTTTTATATACACTATATCGATAACTCATGAAATACACAGATAATTTTTTAACTAACTCATCATATTATTAAAATAAGATTAACATAAGAATTTAGAACATATATTACTTCGTGTTTATATAAGATTCAATAATTTAATTTAATAAGATTAAAAAGTAGTTAATTTAATTGATAATAATTTTATTTATATTTTTTTAAAAATTATCTTTATATTTGGAATACCATAGATTTTTACTAATATAAATAATAAGTAACCCGTGCATATGTACGGGTATTTTTTTTACTTGATTACTTGTGAAATATATATTATTTAAATAATTTTACATTAAATTAAAATAAAATAATAAAATAAAAATGTATACAAAGGAAAAAATATAAAATAAATTTTATATTAGAAATAAATAAAATTCATATTTATGATATATTACAATATCACAAAATGAGTCATTCTTTACCTTTAGTCAAAATTATTTAATTGAAGAATACGTAATATCATATAAAATATAATCATCACACTCTATGCAATTAGATAAATGAGTTATAGAAGTCTGATCACAAAATAATTAAAATCATGCTAACACAAATAAAATGTTATTTCTCAATTTACTATTTTAAAAATTAAAATATGAAAATATATTGATAAATATGAAAAATGAAATAATTATACATAATAATTGAACTTCTAAAAAAAATTATTTCTTTTTAGACATGAATTTTGTTACAAATAAAATAAATCACTTACCTAAAATTACATAATAGATAAATAATTTATTTGATATCATTAAAGTATGATTATACATTATGTAATGATTAATGCACAAGTAAAGACCACATAAAGTAATTCAAGAGTTTAAAAATATTTATAAAATTATATAACGTTTAAAACTAAATTTTTTAATAATTTTATTAATTCAAATCGTGAAATAATAAAATAATTCAATTATTTTATAACTATATTGCATTTAAAATAAATTTCATTAATTTTATATGCTTAGTTATACAATTATAGTTCTTATTTAAGCAATGTGGTGATTATTTTTTTAAAAAATTAAATAATTTTGTAAAAATTAAAATATTAAATGATAAAAAAAAATCAATAATTTTATGACTATATTACAAATAAAAATAAAAGAAAGGAATATTTAAGTTCAATAAATTTAGTTCACGTTTTAAGGTTTAGTTTGATTGCATTATTGATAATTTTTCTATAGAATTAATTGATTTTTTTTCATTTTTTTTATAGAATTAATTGATTTGTAGTTGTAAAATTTGAATTAACCTATCATTAATATAGGTCATTCTTGACACTTTTAATACAGTTATAAAATAATTGATATGTAAAATATTATAAAATGAATATAAAAGTATTTATTTAGTTACCATCATATTAACCATAATAGGAAAATACATTAAAAAATGTATATTATTATGCATAAATTTTTAAAGATGATTGATATTTGATTTTGTAGTCACAAAGCTAAACTTTGACTCCTGATTTATCTTTAACATAGTTGTCTTCAAATATTTGAGTATTTGTTGCTTAAGTGATTTTTAGAGTTCATTTATAATATGTTTATTAAGACTCAAAAATAACAATAATTTATTTTTATTTATGGTATCATCTAGTTGGTTTTAATCCCAACTTTTACATGTGACATAATATAGAGAAGTCTAATAACATAAATTTGTTAATTTATTTATGGTCATTGTGAGTATATGATCATGTTATTTGGTGTGATAAATGTCTTTGCTGTTTTCATGGAGTACATGAATAGAATATTTGAACCATGTTTAGATAAGTTTGTTGTTATTTTCATCGATGACATTCTTATCTACTCAAAATCCATAGAAAGTATAGAGAACATTTGAAGTTAGTGTTAAAGGTATTGAGGGATAAGCAGTTATATTTTAAGTGTTCAAAGTGTAAATTTGGCTAAGTGAAATAAAGTTTTTGGGTCATGTGATTTTTATTAAAGGGGTTTTTGTGAATTGTTAAGGTTGAGACTATGCTACAGTGGGAGTATCCTCAAATTGTTTCTGATATAAGGAGTTTTGTTTTTGTTGACAAGTTATTATAGAATATTCATTAAATAGTAATACCTCTTACTCACTTACAAGGAAATATCAACTTTTTTTGTTTGGACAAATGTTTGTAAGAAAAGTTTTCAAGAGTCGAAGAAGTTTATTACTTCTCTAGTTTTGTTATTGCTTGAACCTAAACAGCCATTTGTGTAATATCCTAAAATTTTGACACAATATTATAATGTTCATAATTTTATTATTATTATCTTATTTTTAAAATAATAATTTAAATTTCTAGTTATTATATTTTAAAATAATAGAGATTAAGTACAATATTTTTATAATATATTAAAATTTTTATTATAATATTTTTAGTAAATTAAAATAGAAATGTATAATATTCAATTATATGTTAAATATTTATAATTTTTTTTGAATAATACTTTAATTATTATAATTGCGTGTGAAACAAATTAGATATATTATAATTTATATAATTATACATAAAAACGTTAGGTCTTAAGTTGCATGTTCGAGTCATGACATGGTCCTAAATTTTTTTTATAATTAATAATAATAATAATAATAAAAAGTAAATTTTATCCAAATTTGATCCAAATCTTAATCTGCGAAGAATCTTGCAGCAGTGGAAAAATTGTTTGCCAGTCTTATCAACATTGTTTACTAGCCTTATCAAACGTACAACTCTGATAAATAGAGTTAGAATGCAACCAAAATGAACATGAAATGCAGCCACATTTACGCAGCCTATAAATAGCAACTCTAACGTGGAGTGAATGGGAATGGGAAAAAGGAAAAGAGAGAGAGAAGAACGTTACGTAAGAGTAAACAGGGAAGAAAAAAAAAACTGAGAGAAAGGAAGAAGAAAATTTTACTCACTTTTTACATTAAGATAAAGAGGAAGAGACTTTTATCCTTTTAAATTTTTTATATTATTATATTTATTTTTTTATGTTACATTCATGTATATTTATTTAGTGAGGTGTCTCTAATCTCACTTATTTATTTAATCTATGATACTTTTACTTATAAATAATTAATTAGGTGTTTTTAGTTTATGTTATTTAATTATTTTATGATATTTTTAATTGTTATTTAAATAATTAAAATATTAAAATTTATTTAGCTTAATTATTTTATAATAGTTCTAACTATAATATAGTTTTGTTTAATTTTTTCTAAGCTCATCTTGTTATTATTTCTTCATACATTATAAAGATAAATGTTATTCTATGGTCATAAGAATGAAATTTTGAATTAATTTATAGTTGGAAGTTTGACCTTGGGAATTTAAATGAGTAAAGAACTTAAGGTAAAATAACATTTTGTTATTTGATATTATAATACTTATTTATCCTAACTAGTCACTACAAGAATAATTCAAATTTTTATTATATCAAGAAGGACTCATATATTCACTTAATGTTGGTTAAAAATATTATTATGCATTTTGTTTAATTATTGATATTTATTGGATAATTGTTCTCACTCCTTATTTTTCTTTGTTTAAAAATTTTATTAATTATAATATAAAATAGATGGATTTGCCAGAAATACCGAGCCTTTTTTCCTTCAATTATATCAACAGTATTTTTGGGAATGAGTTGGAGTGTGGATGTTGTGACACCCTTACAAAATGTTTTCAAAATAATAACTACAACTCCATATACAAATAAAATCTATGTCCTATAAATCCTCTGCCCCGATGTCACAATATCAGAGCATACCCTCAATTCAACCGTTGGCATTTTAGATGTCACTCATAGCTGGATCTTCCTCACCTAAAACATTCACAATTGCACGGTGAGAAAAGAAAACATCTATATGTAAAGCACACAAGGAAAAACACAACATAATCTTATCATAACTCATCAATTAATGAAGTCTTTACAAACATATCCATACATTCTAATTCTATCAATCATGCATCATATTCACATCACAATTTCACAATCACACCAATCTATCACAAATCTTGCAACTAACACTATGTCAATGGTCACGCCACCTCAAGGTCGTGCCACTCTAGACATAAGTGATACGTATTAATTGCCTCACTCATCCCACTCTATGTCAGAGGCACGCCATCCCTGTAGCATCACTTACCTAGGGTCGTCTCATCCTTGGTCATATGTGTGAGGAATCACAATCACATCACAATCATCTCAAATCTTACTATGTCAAGGTCACGCTACCCTTTTACAGCCTAGGGTCATGCTCACCCTTAACATAACACTATGCCAAGGTCACGCTACCTTTTTAGCAGCCTAGGGTCGTGCTCACCCTTGACATAACACTGTGCCAAGGTCACGTTACCCTTTTTAGCAGCCTAGGGTCGTGCTCACCCCTGGTCATCAGTACGAGGATCCACAATCACA